TAACACGCTGCAGCTCTTTTACATAACACACGTCATGCGGTGAGGGTGGAAATGAACCTCATTATCTTCAGAGGAGCCACATCCATCTGATTCTGAGCGTAGATAATGATAAGAACCCCTTTCCAGTGAGTGGGTGGTCGGGTGTATTTTAGAGCTTATAGCACTTCGTATAGAGGGAATACGAAATGGCATTAATAAGTACAGAGCCACTCCAGGCAGGAATATTGTTAATGGGATTAAATATGACTAATGTGTGATGGCTAAGGGGGTTAACTGATTATCAGAGGGAATAAATAAGACGAAATACATCAAAAGTACATTAAAAAGTACTTTAACAAAGTTACCTGGTGTTTTTTATGCTTTACTTGCCTTGCTTGTGCTTTTTACGTCTCTTAATGTCTTGCATATTAAGAATTTTACTTCAAAACATTACAAGAAAAGTCATGAAATGGACATTTAAACTACTTATGAGTGCCAATAAGTTGCACATGAGCCAAGAACAAAAACTTAAACACCAAGACATGAATTAGATATTATTTACTCGAGACTTTGCATACTTTTTCCCAGCACAAAAACACAAGCTATTTCAGAGGTTTAGGTGAAAACAACACGAATGTAAGTCTTATAGTTATATAAAAGCTTTAAAACAACCACTAATGTCACGATAACCTCCTCATTGATGCACTTCAATCCATCATCCTGCAGTGTGTCTGCTGTAACTCCACACACACAGTAGACGTCCCCACATGGTCTTTCTGTCATTCACACACACTCACACAGTAGACGTCCCCACATGGTCTTTCTGTCATTCACACACACTCACACAGTAGACGTCCCCACATGGTCTTTCTGTCATTCACACACACTCACACAGTAGGACAGGTGGTGGTTACTTCACCTGATGCATTAGTGATGATAACTGCATCACCTTATCCAATAATATATCAAACATCATACCTGAAGTTATGCTAACACTTTTGTACTCTTACTTATATTTTCCATGCTTATAGCCTGTCTCCTGTTAACTCCACACACACACTGGACGTCCCCACATGGTCTTTCCTTCACTCACACACACACACTCTCGCGGTGGTACTTCACCTGGCTGTTCGCTGCCTCTCCTCCCGGTCCTCCCGGTCCCCCTCCTCCGGTCCCGAGCTCCGGCAGCCTCCTCCGGCTGAGCACCAGCAGGTAAACCAGCGCTCCCAGCCAGACGAGCACGGCCACGCTCACCGACAGCCTCCGACAGAGACGCTTCATTTTCCGGTGGTCAGGAGGAGCCGGCGGCTGCCCGGCTCATCTTATATGTCCATGTCTACACAAGCGAGGGAGAAAAGACAATAAAACAAAGCGGACTAAAAGCGGACTATCCCTCCACTAACTCGCTCACACACACCGACACACTCTCTGTGCTGACGGCAACACACTGATTCTCCCTCTCTCCAACTCACAGAGGCGCGAGCGCTCCACTGACACGCCTGACAGCCGCGTGTGCGTGTGCGTGTGTGTGTTTCGCACAGGGACTCCTGGACCCTCCTGGAGGTTTGACTGAGGGGCATGGAGCTCCACCTGCCGACACACACAACTACTCCACTGATGGAGAATAAAAAACGGTAACATTTTTTATTGTTTTAATAATACAAAAAAGAAACACACAAGAATAGAATAAAATAAAATAACAAAATGAGAAATATGTATTTATCATGGGAGAGATTGTGTTTTATGACAGTTATTCTATTTAAGAGCAAAACAAATACATTAAATACAAATAAAAATCGAAAATGTATCGTCAAAAAAATCTGACTTTTTCATAATTTATGTTGCAAACATGCAAATCATTACACATTTTTTCAGATATTTAGTGTCAATTTTAACAACAGAGAGCTCTCCTATCATAGTCACAACCCACCACAACAGCACTATGTCAAAACAGAGGTCCTTTTTTAAGTTAAGATTCAAAGAGTGAAAGGCTTTATTGTCATTTATTGCACAATAGTTACAGTGTAGATGTTTGCAATGAGAATATGAAGTCCCAGGCTCCTCAAACAATGCAACACATACAATATACTTAATACATAACAAGAAATAAGGAACACAACACTACAAGTGACACAGTGGTGCAAGTAAAAGCCATGAATAAGTAAATATGTTCATGTTGAATAGAAAAAGATAAATGTGGATTGAAAGACTGCTCATTGTGATAATGAGCAGTAATGTAAAGAAGTGGGAAACGAAGACTATGTGTGACGTAAGACTAACTTTAATGCAAGTGTTGTTTTTATACTATATTAATATCAATACAACCCCTTGTTTATGTCTATTTAACCCAGCAGTGCCAGTTGTTTTCAGTGGTTAGTCTGAGAGAAATAAAAACATTTTCAAAATATTTATACGGATGAAGAACAAGTGGATGAAAAAGAGAGAAGATGGAAGGAGGCACTAATAAATAATACTGGGTTTGAATAGAAGCGAAGGAGGAGAGGGAAGTCATGTTTATCTGTTGCATTCACACGAGGCGACAAGTCAAGAATTTCGTTTCTAAATAATTGATCTGACACACTGAGCTTTATCAATTAAACAAATGATACAACAATTTAAAAGATTCTTCTTGTGTGAGAGGTGAACCAGAGGATACACACCTTTACTGGCTTAGTGCGCCATCTAGTGTTCAGAAACACCACTGGGCTTTACTCGACATGTATTATTTGTTTTACTCTTGTTTTGTGTTACTGCTGCTATTGTTGTATATTCTATTGGGTGGGTTTGGGGGATTTTGACCGCATGCTTTGTTGCCGCCTGAACGGCCTGTTCTTAATCCATGTAAAGAACTTTGTGACGTTGTTTGGAAAAGTGCTGTATAAATAAAGTTATTATGATATTATTATTATTAAAAACAATAGATCTCCTTTCTCTTTTACTGGCATTGTTTTTTTTCTGTTACTTTTCAATCCACCAAATTGCATTAAAGTCTACAGACATGTTTTTTTTACAAATCTGTTTCTCACCGCAATCCTGTCACCGATAATATGCCATTGCTTACAAAGACTGGTTTAAATATCCCTGTATGTACTGTACCACAGTCTGACTCAAATCAAGGTAGAAACATCTCTATATTACATTACATTACATGTCACATGTTAGACGCTTTTATCCAAAGCGACTTACATACTGTGGACAATCCCCACCGGAGCAATTTGGGGTGAAGTGTCTCAGGGACACAACGACATGCTGACTGCAGTGGGGTTTGAACCACCCTGATCCGAACACCAACGCACAACCCTCTGCACCACAAGCTTCTCTATGAAGAGCAAGAGAACTTGGAGGCACCCAAGCAACATTTCAAGCATCATAGCAAAGTGTGAATCCTATAATGTTATTTATTTTTAATACATTTGCAAAAGAAACTCCCTTACTAAATCCCTGTTTTCAAACAGGCTGAAACAATATCTAGTGTAGGAGACGTGTGGCGCAGTGGGTTGTGCGTTGTTGTTGGGATCAGGGGGTCACAGGTTCAAACCCCACTGCAGTCAGCATGTCGTTGTGTCCCTGAGACACTTCACCCCAAATTGCTCCTGTGGGGATTGTCCACAGTATTGAGTATGTAAGTCGCTTTGGATAAAAGCGTCTAACAAGTAACATGTCATGTGATGTAATGTGGAGGTCTGAATGCGATGTACCTTATCAGGTGAGTTTTCAGCATCTTCCTCATTTAATCTGATCTTCTCTTTTCTGTCTGGGTGTTTGAGTTCATCAGCGTTGAAGATTTGAGGAGAAAAAGTCCAGCAGAGCTCTGAGACAGAAGATGGAGATGACGGATTGAATCCCTGCAGCAACAAAAGGCCTGGGAAATGCATACAAATGTAAAAAATGCATATAAATATGATGGTGAAAAAAGACTATAGGACTAATTAATACTCTAAAACTACACATTTTAAAATGCTCTATGTTTTAACAATCATTCTAGGCTCTGTCTTGCCCCAATTAAAACACTATTTGGTGACTCTAAATCAGTGTTAGAAGTAATACTCTGATCCTTTCAGCGCCACCATGTGGACAAATCCTTCACTACAAGTAATAATACCATTAAAAGCCTAATTATAGTTTTGTGTGTAAGTATTAACAGCAGCAAGTATTTAAAGTAACAAGTGAGTGCTTAAAATATGTTATGACTCATATCTGGTTTAGTTTTTTTTCATTTTTTATATTATTTGACAACAAAAACATGCTTTTAATTAAAATATACCTTTGTCCTACAGCATATATATATATATTATATCTTTTATAAAGCACTCTCCTTATGGTTGAAAAGTACAATGTAAATAAACTTACCTTGCCTCATGGTAGCAAACATCACAGTTGATTCTCGCTAAGTAGCCAATATAAGGCTTAGTCCTCTTGCCAAATAGTGAGCCTGTGTTGATGTATGCAAACTATGTTAGAACTGGTTTATAAATGGTTCTTAATGATTAATAAAGTGTTTATAACCTATTATTATTTGTGAATCCTTTATGAGGGTAGTCTTATTGTAAAGTGGTACCGAATAGTTAAGCTCTGAAGACGACGCTGTAAATGTCATTAACATTTTTGGGTAAAATGAATTAATTTACCAACAAAATAGGATTGTATTAATCTTTTTGAGACATGGTGCTAAATCTACATGCAGTGACCTCTCATACTGAGTTATTGTGTGTTATTACTCGGCATATTGTTGATTTATTTAGTAAGTAGTGATGTACTAAGCAGGATAATGTTCTAATGACCGTTAAGCCAATCAGCTGCGTTGTATGTGCTAATCCTGCTGGCTTCTTTCAGCCAGTAAAGTGATATTTAATCCCGTTTTCTATTTATTTTTGCACCACACAGGCCTATACATTATATAACATACCACATAGCATACAAATTAACATATATATTATGTTTTATTATCAAAATGCAATCAACTCTAACAAAATTATTGCAGGAAAAACTTTACATTTAAAGATATTAATAATGAACTCTGATGGATATTCTGCTTATGGTTTATTTTGTCAAACAAATGCCAATATGGAGAAAAGAAACACAGATTAACACACACACACACACACACTCACGCGCACACACATACACACACACACACACACACACACCACATGCTCTAATCCAGTTTATTTTCCTTAGCAGAAAATGGAACACGATAAAATTAAAAAGGAGAAAATAGGACAGAATTATGGTCTTTTTTTTTATACATTTAACTAAATATGCCACTCTATGCTAGGGTGTAAGTAACTCAAACTGATATAAGGTTAAATAATTTGTCTCTAAAAAAAGGTAAAGAAAGATATTCCATTTCTTCCATTTTTCATTAGCCCTCAAAACAAAATCAAAATAAGAACGAGACGCGACATTTCTGCGGTCTCCCTTTCTCTCTCGCTGCGTTCTCATGGGAAAAGAGGTGAGGAAGAACAATAAAGTGTGCATGAGGATTAGCATAGTTAAGTTAAGTGGTGTCTGGTTTAAGGGCTTTCCACCTGAATCAACTTTTCCTTAAAGTTAATTTGCAAAAATCAAAAAAGGATGCATTCAAGGACATCTACCGCCTTGAGAACCCTAAAGTACACAATGCAACTTGCATTTAAGGATATTCCGTACCTGTGTTTAAATGCATCTACAATGTGCGCTAAATGCCAAACTTAAGATGTACATTTGAAGAAGGAAAAAAAAGTTCTGCATTGTCACAAATAAAAAAAAAAGTTGATTTTGGTGGAAAGCCCCTGAGGAAGAGAGAGGTGTGAAAGTGAACCATATGCACAGCACAAAGTCCAACACTCAGACTGGAGGCTGATTAAGAGCGGGAACACAGTGGTCAAATGTGAATGAACAAATGGAAAACCAATCAATATAAGAATTTACTTTAGGCATCATTACTGGTTTGAATCTGTGATGTCAGATGAACAACCTCGACAGCGTCCGACAAAATCTAAATATACCAGGGACTGCTGTAACGGACCTGAATAAGGTTAATCAATAGGACAACTTAACTAAAAAGAACCAAAACAAAATGGTTGATTCTGTTACTTAAGTGGAGATTTAAGAGTCACACTCTTTATTTTAACTTTAAGTGTAAAACATCTCCCATTTAACCAATGGGTTAATTATATTAGCCTAAAACAAAAAGCGTATCAATATGACATCACTGATTTAAACTCGATTTGGTGAGCGCTCACAAGCAGAAATGACACCTCTGGGAGGGATTATGAAATAAAGTTAAAAAGGAAATTATAACATTTTTTTTTTTAAGAATCATTTTCCCCCCCTAAAAATTAAATGACACCCACAAAACAAGAAATAAATTATAGAACAATTTCAGGGGTGATTCATGCATTCGATTTAGCACTCTTAACTGATCGTCTACAACCCCAGAGACACTCGGGGATGAACGTCGTTTTCCTAAATGAACACGTGGCGTCTTGGCGAAGAACTCTTAGTTTTTTTATACAAAAAAATTCAGCCGATTCCCCGTTATGTAAAACAACAGTACTACTCCGAGGAAGAGGAAGGGGAGGAGAGGAAGATCTGCTTGTCCATTAGTGTGGTTCTTCTTCTTATTATTATTATTTATATTTATCGACAATCCATGTGAGCAGAGGCAGGGACCGGCTGTATCGTCCTCCACGACGTCAGTAAAAACAGAGCGGGAAAAAAAAAAAAAAAACAAAGAAAAACCAGGACAGCCTCCTTGGACTGCGTCACTTTAACACACACTCACACACACTGTCGCCGGCACCATGCACCAGCAGTTAGTGGCGCTGTGCATGGACCGTAATGTTGGTGGAAGAAAGGAGGAAGAGGAAGAGGAGGAGGAAGAGGAAGGCGCGGTTTGATCCTCCGACCCCCCTTTTTTTAATAACGACCTGAGGAGTAATCGTGGGATAGAGCTCCACCGCGACCAAAAAAAAAAAATCCAGCTACAACTTTCCGTATCTTCCTGTACTGGGAAAAAACAAGGCGGAGGAAATGGTGGCGAGGCGTGCATAATGTAACCGGATCTGTTAAGGCCGTGTGTGTGAACATTTGATACTGAACGCACCCCTATTGTCCTCCCATTGGTCGAGAAAGGAGTCCAAAACACACTCCTCGCAGGAAACCAGGACAATAACAGAATACTGAGTTCACACACAAGATGTTACAACCTCCTCCTCCTCTTATTCTTCCTTCCCCCCCCCCCTTATCTCCATGTGTCCTCTTCCTCCTTCTCTCCTCCTCCTCATCCTCTCTTCCTAAGCGCCTCCTCCTCTTCATGGCGGCTGGTTGTTAGGAGCACTCCTCTCCGATGCGTTGGCACGACCGCCCCACCTTGCGGTCCAGCTTCACCATCTTGAGCACGGCCTCCTCTCGCCCGCGGCCCAGATGGTCGAACAGACAGTCGTGCTGCTCGGGGAGGCGGTGCAGCATACAGAACACATAGCCTGGGGAGGAAGACGAGGAGGAGGAAGAGTTAGTGAGGAAAGAAGTGACCCAAATATATGTGCTGTTTTGTACTGGGGAAAATATAAAAAATGGTTTTACCGAAAAAGCATCACAAAAATGTATTGGAAAAACAAGCCTCTTAAGTCTCCATCTGATTTGTTAATTGTGAAAGCTCCAAAACTAAATATATAAATATTGTTAGACTGCGTGTGTATAGTATATGGATGGTATACATATACATCTTAGTAACTGGAAAAATGTGTAACTATAATCATGATACTTGATTTAATGTCATTGTAAAGTTTGATGTCAGCACTTTGTTTGAGTCACAGTGCAAATCCTGACTTCAATTATTTAAAATACAGCACATATAATAAAATACATCTGGGTTTAAGAGCTTATCTAGAGGTTTGTAACAACTTTCGTAGTTTCATTTCAAACGATAAAGTAACACTGAAAGGTTGTTTTAAAAAATACACTTGGTGTATTATCTGTATAGCTTTAGATTCCAGTGATTGAAACAAGCAGGAACCATTAAACAAGATAAATACTTGGATTTGTGTTTTTAACATTTGGGTTATCAACCCAAATATATATGCCTTAAAGTGGACCTATCATGGTATATTTAAATGATATATTGTAGGGCCATACCTATATAAGGTATATTTATACGTTTCTGTTTTCAAAATACCAAACGGATCATGCATTTTAGCCATGCCTCATTTCGCTCAATTTGCACTTTTTTTTAGCTCTGCTCTGCACGGGCTGATTCAGTGAGAACAGCACCATCTAGAGGCCTGGCATATGTACTACAGTGTCTCCAGCGCTTTCGAACGGCAATGGCCGTGGCTGTCTCCTCCTGATTGGTGGAGTTGGCCCAATAGCCGTAGCGCCACCGTCCTGACGTCAGGACAGTGTTCAAATCTGGATCAGTTTTTATCAGATCCGTTGCAGCCCCTTTTTTAGAGATTTGGGTATGGAGGAAAATAGAGAGGGTTGTGTTTTCTGACACTTGGTGAGTTCCCTGGAACACCGGGGACACATATTCATGTATAAAAGACGTACAAAAGTGCATTTTGCATGATAGGTCCCCTTTAAATAAAACACTAAATTATCTCAATGTCAAAATAAAGCTGAAGGCTGGCATACTGTTTTTATCGAATGGTTTATGTAGCGTCAGTTTTTCATGTCAAACAAAAACAAGTATCTTAGCCAACTTTGTTCGGGTAGTCGTGGATATTAATAGGCGCTTTCACATCGGAGTACTTTTCCCAGAAATGGTTCCGATAGTTCCTGGGATGTTGCGTTCACACCAAACATATCTTTTTTTCGGGAACCTTTTCACCCCTTTTTAGTCCCTGCTAGAGAGCAGGTACTTTCCTGGGGAGAAAAAGGTTCCAATTTCTGATTGGCTGGGCGAATTGCAAACCACGCCCCGTAAAAAACTCTGAAAGGTTTTTGTGAAGCCGCCATTTTATTTCCTTGCATTAGCATTATTAGCATTAGCATTAGCCCAGCGCACCAACGGAGAGAGACTAACTTATGGCAACACAAAATAAAACGTGGGATCGGTGGAGATGAGGTGTCGGCGCTTCACTGCCACCCAAAGTCCCCAACTCCGGGGACTTCGGTGGCAGTATACTATCGACAGTGAATGTCAGTATTAACGCAGAGCTTTGCAGCGTGTTGGTACTGACCGCAGCGACAGGATCCCAGTTCCTGCTGCACCAGCTCTAGTTTGGTTTGGCAGCGGTAGCAGCGTCGGCGGTTCTTCTGCTTGGGCGTCCCGCGGGCCTCCTCTCCTCCTCCTCCATCTTTCTCCTCCGCACGGGGCCGCTTCTCCGGCGTCGCCTCGCTCTCAGAGCCCGACGCTGAGGAACACAAACAAAAAACAGCAGCATTAATATATGGCGGCTATCATAGGGCGGCAGAGATGGCAAAAGTACACACATCCTTTACTCAAGTAGAAGTACAGATACTCATGTTTAAAAATACTGTGGTAAAAGTAGAAGTACTGACTAAACTTCTTTACTCAAGTAAAAGTAAAGAAGTATGGGCTTTGAAATGTACTTCAGTAAAAAGTACCCATAACTAGCAGCTGTTTTAAAGAGTACCTGACCTCCCTTTATATTAATAGAACAATAATGTCATTGTTAGCTAATGAATGTTTCCATGCTGAACAACGGCAACATGACAACGTTTTCATTGGTCCCTCTTCTTTAGAGAAGACCAGGAAATGATGGATACACGGATCGTGTTCAAATCAATAGGCACGCAATGACTCTAAATAACAACGACTGCGTGGCCACACACAGCTCCAACACCATCGTGAAGTTTGCTGATGACACGACCGTCATCGGCCAGATCACAGACGATGACGAGACGGCGTACAGAGAGGAGGTCGAAAACCTGACATCTTGGTGCCAGGAGAACAACCTCCATCTCAACATCAGCAAAACAAAGGAGCTGATTGTGGATTACAGGAAGCAGCAGGGAGAGGGACACGCCCCCATCGCCATCAATGGGACTACGGTGGAGAGAGTCAAAAGCTTCAGGTTCCTTGGGGTCCACATCACTGAGGACCTGACATGGTCTCTTCACACCACCACCATCACCAAGAAAGCTCAACAGCGGCTCTTCTTCCTCCGCAGGTTGAGGAGGTTCAAAATGGATTCCAGGATACTCTGCAACTTCTACAGGTGCACGATAGAGAGTATCCTCACTGGCAGCATCACGGCCTGGTACGGCAGCTGCACCGACCTCGATCGTAAGGCTTTACAGAGAGTGGTGAAAACTGCACAGAACATCACCAGGACGGAGCTGCCATCCATGGAGGACCTTTACTCCCAGCGGCTCAGGAAGAAATCACTACGGATTATCAAAGACCCCCATCACCCCAGCCACAAACTGTTCTTTCTGTTGCCGTCTGGCAGACGTTACCGCAGCATCCTGGCAAGGACAAGAAGATTCGGAGACAGTTTCTTCCCGCGGGCAGTGAGACTGTTAAAAAATTGAACTGTTGAAACAACTTCAAACATTCATCTGCTACTCAGTAGTATGTATCTAATACCTAATATATATATATATTAGGGCTGTCAGTCGATTAAAATATTTAATCGCGATTAATCGCAAATTAATCGCACATTTTGTATCTGTTCTAAATGTACCTTAGAGATATTTTTCAAGTTTTTAATACTCTTATCAACATATGAGTGGACAAATATGCTTTATATGTTTGTTTATTATCATTTGAACAATGACAAATATTCTCATGAATATTAAACACAACAACCTCTGAACATTACAAATATTCGCCTCAATTCAACCTGGAACCTCTCTCATACAATGTGTGTGTGTGTGTGTGTGTGTGTGTGTGTGTGTGTGTGTGTGTGTGTGTTGTGTGTGTGTGTGTGTGTGTGTGTGTGTGTGTGTGTGTGTTGTGATGGATCGTTGGAGCTATGTGCAGCTCAAGGCATATATGCTCAAACGGGAGCTGCCTGGACGCTGCAATCATGTTGCGCGCACTATCCGTGCTGAGTGTGCTGACTTTTCGTACAATGTCCCACTGTCTGGCTACCTGCATAAAGTCAAGTGCTCGGCGCAGTTGTCGGCGAAATGTCGCTCCTCTGTTTTCATTGAAACAGCTCCTTATATCCGTTAGCGCAGCTAGCTAGCACCAGATGCTAACAACAACAACATGTAAGGTGTGCCTCGCTCGCGAGTCGCGCCACACATACACACACCCTCCCGGTCCTCCCGATGGCCAGTCCGGGCCTGCCGGTGAGCGTGGAAGTGTGGTCTGCCACAAGCGGGCGGCAGGAGCGGGGCTGTCAGCATCAGCTTGTAGATGGTATTTTAAACTCGATGCGCTCTGAAACTACGGCGGCCGAGGACAAAAAATACACATGCGTTAATCGCGTTAAAATAATTAGTGGCGTTAATTTTTTTTTGCGTTAACGCGTTATTAACGTTATTAGACTCGTACTGCACTATTCCACATCATCACTTTATTTTATTTTATAACTATTATTCTTTTTGTATTGCTCATGCTCTTATTGTTATTATGTTATTATGTTGCATTGTTGGAGAAGCCTGTGACATAAGATTTTCAACTACATAATTACTCTGTAGCTATGTCAGATTGACAATAAAGAACCTTGAACCTTGAATGATCACGCCACCAAACACACATTCAAACTAAAGGAACCAGCCTGTTTGGAAAATGTAAGAAGTAGAAAGTACAGGTATTTGTGTTCAACATGTAAGAAGTAGAAAGTACAGGTATTTGTGTTCAACATGTAAGAAGTAGAAAGTACAGGTATTTGGGTTCAAAATGTAAGAAGTAGAAAGTACAGGTATTTGTGTTCAACATGTAAGAAGTTAAAAGTCGTCAGAAAAATAAGTACTGGAGTAAAGTACTGATACCAGAAAAATGTACTTAAGGTTCAAGGTTCAAGGTTCTTTATTGTCAATCTGACATAGCTACAGAGTAATTATGCAGTTGAAAATCTTATGTCACAGGCTTAAGTACAGTAACGAAGTATTTGTACTCCACTACTTCCCACCTTTGTAGGACGGGTTAAGAGAGCAGGAGGAAGAGGGCGTACCTGATTCCCGAGGACGTTTCGTGGGCGTGAGCAGCGTGCCGTGGGCGGTTTCTGTGGACGACATGCCTGCAGAGGGAAAACATGACAAGTGTGAGAAATAAAAAAAAAAGTTGCAACAGTAAATGTTATATTTTTCTAAGTAGTTAAAGCGCCCCACCTGACTGAATATAGACTATGGCTGCACAATTTTTAAATAAATAATAGGCTGGTTTTTGGCAGTATCATAAAAAAAGTCAATTGTCCCATCTCACCTTCCCTCGAGCTGCTAAACGAGTGCGAGGGCTCTTCGGCCGACGGCTGCTCGGAGCTGGAGGGCGGCAACGAAAGCGACGACAGTGATTGTGATTGGCTGCTGCTGCTGCTCGTCTCGCTACTGAAGACTGCTGATTGGCTGCCGACGGAGCTTTGGAGGGGCTTAGAGTCGCAGTCCTCCCCCGGCTTCTTCTCGATGTCTGGGGGAAAAGACAGAAGGTACGTTAGTAAGTAGGAGGAGGAAATATCAAAGACACGACGGGATGACAGACAGATGCAGAGAGGGAAATGTTGTTGAGATGTGATATTGGGTTATACAAATAAAGTTTGATTTGATATAAAACAGAGAATAGAGACCACACAGAAACTTGCTGTATAACCTGGACCTTTTGGGGTAACTTGTATTTTTATTGTGTCACTGAACACGTGGCTTGTGTGGTCATTTAATCTTTTAAGATGCATATGATGTTTTAATGCTTTGTCAAGCACTTTGTGATTATGTCTGGGAATAGCGCTTTATAAATACATTTGACTTACTTTTATGGTGTGTAGTACAGAAATACAGCCACACAACCTCAACAATATGTATGTGTGCTTAATAAAGATGCATCTAGCAAGAAGAGAACGTAAGAGAAAGATGTGTCCTCTCTTTGATGATAATGTCAGACGCTATCGATCCATGAGGTCATCGTCTCCTCTTTTCCCCGCAGGGAGGTCAGCAGATATTTTTTCTTCTCCACTTGTGGACTAACCCACTTCTGCTCTCCATCACTCTTGTGTTTCGAGTCTATTCTGAGCATCGCTGCCGCCTCCCAGACTCACAGCCCTGAGGTGTCTACCGTCCTCGCCGGTTGCCATAGCCACAGACGAGGATGTCATTGAGAAAACTTTATGCACAGCCTGACATTTTCAAACTTTAAATTGGGCGTTTTTGATTCTGCCCTTCAAAATATGACTGCTCTCTACAATAGGGCTGCAGGGTTTAAACCTACAAAATGTTCTCAATATGGATATCAGAAATATTGTATTTTCTCCTTATGACACAGCTTAGTTGAATACTTCATTCTCATTGGTCCATGTGGACATTGAGAGGTTGTTAATACTCAATAACAGACCACCACTAGGCAAGATAATGACCGTTGCTAAGGGGGATCAAGGGAGAGAAGGAAAGAGGTTAAAAGATGGAGCGTTTTATGTCAAAGAAAATCAACGGAAGAAGACAGACAGGAAGTAAACACTCGCGGGAACAGCAGAAGAAGACAGACAGGAAGTAAACCCTCGCGGGAACAGCAGAAGAAGACAGACAGGAAGTAAACATTAACAAGGTATGGGCTCTGGCATTGGTTGAAAAACCTTGAAAACCTCAATCTGTGCAGCCGTTGATTTTAAGTTGTTTTTTTCGCAGTACAGCCGTTTGTACTTTCTTATAAAGCAATACGATCATTTTTGAGTCAATAAACTCACATTGTAAGTCAAGTTGTAGGTTATTTAGTGTGTGGTTGTGTAATAAGCGGTAATAAACTTAGCCTTAAATGAAATCCTTTCTTCCTCTCAACACTAATGTTTTCCTGTAAATGGTGGACGCATCATTTTGCAGTGAGACGTCTCTTTCCATTTTCCTAGAATGCCTTCTTAGCATAGTTAGCATTCCTCACAGTATCAGCTGGTACACCTAGCCTGAAGCTCCTGCTCTCTGAGTCTCTGCTGTACGAGAGAACAGTTCTGCGTGCCAAGAAGTAACTCAACTAAACAAGCAAATGTGGAACTTGTTCCGCTGTTTGGATGTGACACATAACCAGCTGACAGTAAGACAGTGGCAGCAGGGGGGAAAATATCAATGTCCTCTTCTGGTAGCAATATGTTGTTCTCAAAGGCCTGCATTATATAACTCTGTAGTCGAGAAGAAGTGTACATTTCACGTGATGCAGAATCATCTACGTAGCTAACTCGAAATAGCTTACAGGCCTCAAATAGAGACGTGCAGGAATAAGTCCGAAACACTGAAATTAGTTAGCCATTAGTTTTTGGTTAGATTCCCAAAATAACGTCAGTGGTTAACACAAGCTTAAGAGATGTATTTGTGTTCATGTGTCATGTGACCGTGCTGTAGTTCCTTTATAGCCCAACATTAGCCGCCTTTAGCTTAGCGGTGGTGACGTGAAGTCATGTGACCGTGCTGTAGTTCGTGTATAGCCCAACATTAGCTGCCTTTAGCTTAGCGGTGGTGACGTGAAGTCATGTGACCGTGCTGTAGTTCCTTAATAGCCCAACATTAGCCTCCTTTAGCTTAGCGTAGGTGACATGAAGTCATGTGACCCTGCTGTAGTTCCTTTATAGCCCAACATTGGCCGCCTTTAGCTTAGCGGTGGTGACGTGAAGTCATGTGACCGTGCTGTAGTTCCTGTATAGCCCAACATTAGCCTCCTTTAGCTTAGCGGTGGTGCCGTGAAGTCATGTGACCCTGCTGTAGTTCCTTTATAGCCCAACATTAGCCGCCTTTAGCTTAGCGGTGGTGACGTGAAGTCATGTGTCATAAAGTGGTGTGAATATGTGGAGATTATCCAGCTGAACCAAACGTGTAAGTATCATAAACGTTTGAGATTTCTTTCTGCAATTATCCAAAAGTCAGTAGAAAAATCTCATTGGCTTTAAGTTGAGCAAGTTTCTTGTGTTTTGAAAACCATATGGCAGAAGGCTATCTGAACAAGGGAGAACATTTTCAAAGACAGTATTTGTTTGTCATTAAATAAATACTTACCATCAAAACATTTGGAGCAGAGGTTCATGGTTTCACTGGACCTGAGGACGCAGAAAAAAAGAAACTAATGTCAATAACTTCCTCAGACATCCACCCACACTGAGTCTCTACTTAATACTCCATGTGATGCACACCTAAAAGTGAAATGTGTTGAATTTGAAGCCAACACCACGGCGTCAAGGACAAAAGAGATGATTAAACAAGACTGTACAGAAATGAAACACATGGTTATGGTAATAAAGTCTTTAGTTCCCCCCTTCCAACAATACCTGTGTCACATTTACGCAGTGTGGCTAAACATAAATGTGTGGAAGACTGACATGTGGTTCTGGATCCGTAACAAACACTGTTCCCAACACCTCAAATGACAATTATATCACATCCTGGACATCTTTCATAATCACTCAGGACAGGATATCAGAGGATTGGGAAGCAATTGGCGTTATAGAGACTTACAGGAGTAGCATGGTTAGTAGTTAGATAATTGAACAGTTGTACCTTTGTTATGGACTCGTTTTCTGTAAATACACTGATTAGTTCAACACTACTAGTTTCCTGCAAGCATAGAGACACATTTCAGGCCACTTCCCGTTACATATTTTCATGGAGTATTGGATCTTTCTGCAAGGGAACATTAAGCTATACAGTCGCGATTAGTGGGTTTAGCACCAGGTACCCTGACTTTATGACATTTTAACACCCATACAACACCTTTGAATATGCAAACAATGCTTGAAATAAATTGATAAGCCTAAATCTAATCAATCAGCTAGTACTCAATTTAGTTTCATGTAAGCATGGAGACACATTTCTGGAAAACTAAAGCCATGTCTTGTTTACATTTGCATCAATTACTGGATCTTTCTGCAGTCAAGCGAAGAGTCAAACATTAAGATATACAGTCATTAGTGGGTTTAGCTCAAACCGACACCAGGTATCCTGCCCATATGACGTTTTAACAACCATAAACAACACATTTGAATATGCAAACAATGCATATAGATACATTGATAGGCTTGAATCCAATCAATTAGTCCAGAACTGTCTCCATAGCATGCTAAGCTCAAAGTACAACTGACATGTGGAGGGGGGGGATGTGCATCATAGTCTGCTGAAAGAAAGTCAACGAGCTGAGCCTCACAAGTCGAGTTTGGCATGTCCTAAAGAGGCCACCGTACTTTTGCTTTTTGGCTACACTGTACTGGAAAGCGCTCCCAGCTGCCTGGAGGATTTGGGGGGGGGCAGGGGGTGTAAGGGATGCAGGTTTCACTTACAGAGTTCGGTCCTGCAAAAGCCTCTGTGTCAGTCACCTGTTTCGGGTCGTGGCTGCACAGTGAGCCAGCCTACTTTCCAACAAAGACAAGAGGGTTTTTTTTACTTTCAGCCGCGATTTTACTGCGGCAGAAAACCACAGGGACACAGGGAAAGCATTGAGTTACACAGTTTAATACCAGAATACTAAGATCTACACTTACTGTAATATGTTCTGTGTATTATACACATTTTTACATATTGATTGTAGTTTTATTTTGTACAATATCTTTTACTTAAATGTTTATGTTCATAGACATATTTGTATTTTATCCTTTTCCTGCATATCCTTAAATTAACTTCTCATTTAAATAGAAATATTTTATTAACTTGTACAAAACCCAATGTTCACAACTCGAACTTTAGACTCTAGTTTGATGTAGATTTGCTGCTACAAATGTGGTCCCTTTTTTGTCAACTCATCAATCTTTATCCTGCATTTGGATTATGTGTTCTCTGTAGAGGCATGGGGGTAGACAAATAAGTTTACTTCGTGAATTTAAGGTAACATGGAGTGAGTAATTGATATAAATATGATCATTTTGAAGGTGAAATATCCCTTTAAAGTTCAAGTAATGCACTTTAAAACCACAAAGACGATGGGCAGTTCTACAAACTGGCAAACCTTGGTTGGTCTTCAACTCGGATTCTAGACCCTTCTTTCTCCTGGTTTTCCTATCATTTAGTTGAACCTTTTCCTACTATCCGTCATGTCTTTCTTCTCCTCTTCTCGAGCTCTCTTTAATGTTCATTCCCCCACAATACAGCCATTTCTGTCAGCTAGGAGAGCTGTCAATGGCTGGAACTCTGGAGGTTCTTCACATCATTGTTCCTACAGATCCAGGATCCAAACCTGCACTGAGGTCGAGGAAAGAGAGGTGTGTTCCCCGGCTAGAGACACCTGAACGTCTACAAGAGATCTCACCGTCTCTCACTGCATTACTGCTAGAGAAATGGGCCTCGGGCAAAGTAACAAGTGGACTTTGGTAGTGATCCCAATCAGTAAGTATATATACTTAAGACACAGACCTTTGGCTTTGGACAGGCATTCTGTCCACCACCATGAGGCAGACAAACTATAATCCAATCCACTGTAACAATGCTAAGCAAGGCCTCATTCACAAACTGCCTGACACAAGGTCACCAGAAACTGAAAATGAGACTTCGGGAAGATAGAAGATTTTTTTCCTGGACGTTTAGACTGTACCAGAGCGCCTTATAAAAGTGGAACATTGGTTTAATTCCTGGCCAATAAAAAGCATGACGGACGATAACTTTGTGAAGCTTTGAAAATCTTAAACTAAAAAATGGCAATCTCCAGCAATTCAAACCGATTATATCAGCACTCGTGAAAAATAAAAGAATTATTTGATATATGTATTTCAGCATTTCATCTTATTCTAATAACATGTGTATGGTTTACTTATTTACTTGATCACTTGCACTATTGTATTTCCATTTCTTTCCTACTAGCATTAGTATATATATATATATATATATATATATATATATATATATATATATATCATTGTTGGAGGAGCCGAGGACTTCAGATTTCCTTAGTCAAAACTACTCCAGAGCTATTGTAAGTAAGACAATAAAGCATTTGAATCTTAAAAAAAAAAATGTAAAGAATATGCAGATTTCTACCCATCTCCTTATACAGTTGGTATGCTAATGATAGGCTAGGATTTACAAAGATGTCAGCTAGACTCCAAAGGTGTCTCACCTCGGGACAATATACTTTAAGTACTGATTAATGATACCTTTTAAGAGGTTCCTACTATTATTTAGTAATAAAATAAACAACACACACACACACACACACACACAACCACACACACACACACACACACAACACACACACACACACACAACACACACACCACACACACTACACACACACACACAACACCACACACACCACACACACACCACACACAACACAACACACACCACACACCACACACACACACCACACAACCCACAACACACCACACAACACACACACACACACACACACCACACACACACACACACCACACACACACACACACACACCCACACCACACCACACACACACACACACACAACACACACCACACACATGATTTCTTCCTTTTTTTTCATGTAGAAGTCTTTGTTTTCTTTCTATTGATTTCTAGCAATCATATCATGCTGTAAAAAATGTGGCTCAAATACAAACCAAAGGTCAGACATTAACTTTATCTAAAGAAGGACATCCATTTATTTAATAGACTATTCATTTTGTTTTAAATAAGGATCTCCTAGAAAACAAAGTGAATTTATTCTTAGGAGATTTTTTCAGGAAACTCAAAACCCAATTTTTTTCCATATTTCGTGTCCAAAGAGAGAGAAAAACGCAAATGTCTGCCATGGGCCAATGGGACTTAATAACCCTAACCTAATATTTAGAAGGTAGACTTCTCAATATCCACACGACGTGCGGCTAAAAAGTGCATGAATTGTTCCACATTGTGTACCTGTAATTATACAAAAAAAATGTACGCACTTTACAGAAGATAGGTGCTCATTTCAAACTGTCAGACACCACCCACCCCCCCCCCCCCCCCCCCCCACACACTCCATCCTGCAGTACAGGTACGACTAGATGAGAATATCAGTAAGAATAGCAATATCACCTTGGATTCATGAAACTTGTAATTGGACATATGTCACTGTTTTATTTTACCGTAGATCTGAAAACATCTTCCACCATGGGTTACAAATAATCCATGCTTTTAAAGCTCTCCATACTGAATTTTAAACCCTTAAAAAAGCTGAAGATAAGATAACCATATTCAAGCAGCTCTTTAAGAAGCCTTGTGTTTTAGTGACATGTGTGTGTGTGTGTGTAGCATGTACTTTTTACACTGCTATGGACAATCTTGCACTAATGTACATTCCCAAAGATATTGAAGTGACTGTTATATTGATTGTGGTGCTTTTATCTTAATGTGTGCATATATATATATATATATATATATATATATATAGGACATACATATTTTATACATATTTGTATACATGTATTTGCATGTTTGGTATTCGGGATTGTGGAAAACGGTATTTTGATCTCTGTCTGTACACACAAACTGAAAGATTGACAATAAAGTTGACTTTGACTTGACTGATGCATGCATGCGTGTGTGTGTGTGTGTCAGCCAGGTGTCATTCTAATCTGAACAGAGGAGCAGGGCTGTAATGCTGCCATTTGTGTCACCTGACATTGACAGGTGGGTTGCTGGTTCCAGTTTGCTTACTGGGCACCACAAGGCAAATGGGGGTGAGGGGAGGGGGTGAGGGGAGGGGGGTGAGGGGAGGGGGTGAGGCTTAAGGGAGGTAACAAAATGACAAGTCATATGACAATGTACTGTAAAGATAATACCTCTAAACAAGGGGCTATTGTCTCACTGCTGGTATTTCACAGTATAGAAGTAGTTTGCCACAATAGAACCACCCATATGTTAGTATAATGGAAGTATTACAGGGGTTAGTGTTGGTTAGCATGACATGACAGTAACAGTATCTTATGTTCCGCTGCTATGCTATGTTACAACAGACACTAATAAAAAGGAGAAGTCACGTTAGGTTTCTGATTAAAATAAAAAAGGTTATATGAAGCCATTTTTCCTATGGGGTAACACATCAGACATCAGTGAATCACATCCGGTATGCAACACACATCCACTGTTTGACAATGTAAAAGGGCTGTCAAATAATCTTTAAAGAGGTTTATAACCACTGCTATGTCAGAGGATTTAACCACAGGGGCTTGTTAATGGTTCAAATTGTGCTTTTCTTCGATGGGATTCAAGAAAACAGGGCAGGTTTTTAAAGGAACCTGCTGGCAATAAATCATGCTGTATCTACGTGACGTCATCTCCTGCTTTACAAATCGCCTTTAAAACAGGATTTAAGACGATTAAAATACACATACGGTATTTCAAATGATAAAGTGGGGTTATAAACTTAAAAACAATTAGAAATATAGCTAGTTTTTAAGATAGGAGATGTATTTATAAGCTAACTTCCCAACCCCCCACCCTCGGCCTGTACAACAGAACAACAACAATGGGACTAGTTGAACCCGTTGAGCGTATTTCATCCGGATTTACCTTTAAAAGCAAAGAAAGAGGGTTAAATCGTCTTTGTATTTGGTTAGAAATCTTACCCCCAAAAGCCACAGGGACACCGGGGAGGAAGAGTCGCCGGTTTGCTTCGTTCACTTGTGTCTCCCATGACTTCCAACAAAAAAAAAAGCCGATATGGAAACGCGAGGCTGGGGGATGAGGCCTGGTTCTTCTTCAGTGAGGAGAAAGAAAACGGCCCAAGTTAGAGAAAAATTAAAATAAGTGCTGTTTCTTGTTTTAAATCCACAATTAGGGTGAAAAAAGGTGGCGAACTCGGCCCCTTTTGGCGACAAAAACCATCCGTTAAGTCAAACAAAACGGCTCAGTTTAAACTGGAATAATTGAAGCAATCAGCTGGACGTTTGGGCGTTTCGACCGGGGGAAGAAAAGAGGGGTGTCGTGGTTTTACTCGACACTAAAAAGCGTATAAATCCCACAAAATGTCCATAAATGTAGATGAAACCCACTTGTGGTGGAGTTAAATACCTCTAAAGGTACGAGAAAATAAAAGATACATGCATTGAGGAAGGCCTTCCCCTTTTAACTGTCAATCACCACCCCTATTTTACACGTCGCTGCTACGAAGTATGGTGGGCCGGAAACGGGTCCATCAAACCAGAAATGTCAATATTGCCCAACGAGACGAAAAACTGTGCAAAAATACCTGGCATTTTAAATGCATATTTACACAATTAAAGACAATTATAAATCCTAAATGTTAAATGTTATGTCGATGTGTAAACTTAAAATGTGTACACAGATAGAGTGTAACGGTTTGACTGGCTTTCATCACTGTAATCCGTTTACTAGATTACAGTGAGGACTTTACTCTAATACATTTGTAATTACAAGAAACGTGAAACAGGATAACATCGTGGGCTGAAATTCAATACATATGTTTGTGGTTTGTTAAAGTTAACCTTAAACGACAGCATGTAAATACTGTACATAGATGTGTTGATTAAATTGTATTTAAAACAGGTATTTAACAGCATTAACACTACTAGATCAATGATATAGAATTGTGGATGAATCTGCAACTTTCTGGTGTCTTCTAGTTTTATTAAACCCACATTTATTGACTTTTCTGAGCAGCACAACAAGCTGTAAACAGACACACATTTTACCTTTGTGCTTTTTGGTGGTGGAAAAGTAGTGCACTAGGGTTTATTGGGAGTTTTAAAAAGGGGAAACAATGTGCTGAAAGATGCTAAATAATCTAAATAAAGAGAATTTAGTCAATACAAGCAACATCTTTTAGATCACACATTGTCATCTGACCCATCTGTGTTTTAAACAAAATCACAAGTTAGCCATTTCCTAATTGTTTTAAAGCTTTGGGGTAACAATTCTTCCATTGATCAGTGCCTGAGATAAATCCCACAAAGGTACATCAAAGCTCTTTAAACTGTGAATCTGTCTATATATATATATATATATATATATATATATATATATATATATATATATATATATATATATATATATATATAATAATGCTCATCAGTTCAACAGGTAATCGTTTCATCATTGCTTCTTAATTGTTCTGTCATTTGTGTTGAGCTTACACTGCTTTCCTTCCAGTCCATTCATTGAGTAACACAAACAAGACAATAGTTCTTCAAAATTAGATGTTTTTTTAAATGTTTCATGACAGTAAAACAGCTCCTTAGCCAGCATTACACATCAAACATTTTCTAGAGAGCTGCCGGGGCATCAGTGCCTATAGCATGATGAACACATGTCGACTGATCACTGTTGGTCTGTAACAGAAGATACACATCAATGTATTGCTTGTATCAAAGAGCTCCGCTGAGTTCAACAGCAGGAAAAAGCAGACGGGTGTCAGCAATGAACAATGTCAGTTGTTTCCATAATCACATTTTTGACAGGCAATGTATCGAACAAGAGGCAGTGAAATGCAATCACACATCAATAGTCAAAACTAATATATATATTAAGTAAAACTATACACAAACATAGGTAGATGGGGGGGGTGGGGAGTGTGTTTTTCTACATTAACCTGAACAAACCCTTTTTCAGTTCTCCGGTCGGTTATTAAGGAAGACTTTATCAAACTACGGGTGCTCTTCTAAAATGTAGATGGCGATGATTTAAGAAGGCGTATAGAAACATCGGTGGGACAGGCTATTCACATCCAATAAAAAAGGAGTTCTGCAAGACGAACAACTCATAAGTGCAACATCAGGACACACAATAAACAAACCACAGCACTGATAGCTTAATTTAAAAACAAAACTCAAGAAAAAAAACACACACAAAAGACAGCGCGAGTGTTTAAATAAAATCAACATACAAACAGAAATCCAGCACTCCAGTACTGAACTTCAGTCGGAGGAGCCAAGCTGCAACCTTTATTTCTGAGTACTCGAGTAAAATAAAGTGCCGATAGCAGCTGCTCGTGTATCTACTGAATAGAAACCTTCTTCCTAGCAGCACTAGTGCATACACAATTTGGTCCGAACCACTCAAACCCAATTTTTGCAGCCTAATTAATGTCCTAATCATTTGTGCTAAGCTATTCCAAGTGCTTAAAATACTAAATCCAGACGCTGAACTCAATTTAGTTAAAGTGAGGTTTTTCTTGACGTATGAATTTTAATTATCAAAAGAGTCACACCAGATCAGGACCAGAGACTTTGTGTCCGGGTGTGAAAGCCTTTCAGCAAATACTTAACAGTGATTACTTACTATGCAAATGCATAATTGGATTAAGTGCAAATTGCATACAAATGCCACAGAGTGCATTAGCTCCAAAGCTTTGGCAAACATTTGAACGATTTAATTCCAAACTTTGAAAAATACTCGACTGCTACTCTGTTAGCTCGATGGTATGAAAAGTGAGTAGTCGCTTTAAGACAGTTTTCTTAAAAAAATAGCTTGTTTATGGAAAAAAAATCCATCTCTTTTGGGGAATATTTGCTCGTAAAATTCAGATAGCAACCCTTCCCTTCCAATACTGTTCTGACGCTCTTTGGTGGTGCAGAACGACCACGTCTCCGTGTGAGCCTGGTCTTTGGAGAAGTAAAAGATCTCACTTTTTCAAGGAAAGAATTTGCAGCTACAGAGTACCTTCACGAAAATGTTTGAGCAAAGATGTAACGCCTAACCTTCTGTTTCAGAACTGGAAAGACTGGAGCCCTAAACGCTGCTGCTGCTGCTGCTGCTGCTACAGATACACCAGTCTCTAATGTTGCACTAACGACAGAAGGATCATGGGTAATGACAATGAGACGATCGCCTTAAGCAGCGCTGTAGCAGTGCAGTCTGGGTGATGAAGGCTGTGCAAAAATGGCATTCTGAGGTGAGGTTTTTTCTCCCGTCCTCTCAACACTTTCCCGACGATAGGCCCAGGTTTTAATGGTGGGACTGGGAGGAAGATGAGGAGGAGGAAGAGGGATGGGAGGGGTGGGAGGGCTGGGAGGACTGCAGGCTGTGTGTGCGTGAAGGTCGCTGGGGTCGCGTCTGAGGAGAGGCGGAGTCAGGATCCGAGGCGTCCAAACCCGGGCTGCCTTCATTCACGTCTGT